AAAAAAGGTGATAAAATGGAAACATGACTTCAAGGTATTATCGTCTACTATAATTCTTCAGCGATTTGATTGTGAGCAGTGCATCACTTCACAGACTACTTTTCGGACTGCGTGTTCGTAAAGGAAAGACTGCGTGTTTGTCTGAGAATTGTGTATTAATATCGCGGTGTACTTTTTGGACTACTTTGCGGACTGTGTGTTTGCAAGGGAAAGACTGCGTGTTTGTCTGGGAAAAAACCGCGTGTTTGAGTATGCAGTAGTATGTAAAATTTCTCGGACTACTTTGCGGACTGCGTGTTTGTAGAGGAAAGACTGCGTGTTTGTCCGGGAAAGCTGTGTGCTTGTGTATGTGACCTTTCACGGACTACTTTGTGGACTGCGTGTTCGTAGAGGAAAGACTGCGTGTTTGTCCAGGAAGGTTGCTTACTTGTCTGAACAGACTATTTTCTCTTGCAATTATTTTTTTACTTTTTTAAAAACAGAATGATAAAAATTCAAAGCGGATAAATTATTTTTGGGAGTTGCAAATGAAAAGACAAAACATACGAATGGAGATAAAGTTACTCGAAGAGAAAACCGAATTACTTGAGAAGGAACTGTCACACCAGATTGCTCTTGAACAGGTAATATATTAGCGACTTTCATTATGTCTAATCTTGATACTGTGATACTGAAAGTTTATTTCATTTTAGACCCGACATATTCTGGATGCGACGAGGGAGACTCGTAATCAAGGTGCTTTATTACAAAGTGAAGTTACGACAAAAATCAAAAAACGCATGTTGGATAAATCGGATGCACCATGTGAACAACCAAAAAGGAGAGTGAAAGCTACTAATAGAGTTGAAAGTGCAGAACATTATTCCAAGTCTTATGATCCGGAAGAGTGCGAGGAAGAATGTATTAATGTGGAACAATACGAAGAAATTATAAGTGATGAACAAAACGTTTCCAATGAAATAGATGAGGGGGATGAGGTATGGTTATTTACATTAAAGTGAACTGTTCAGTATTGAATAATTGGAATAATTGCTAATTGGCGCGGTTCTTTTTTAGACCGAATTTGAATCATTGAATTCTTCACCTCCTTTGTCCGAGGGTGACAATGGTTCAGTTTACACACCAAGGTATTTAATTCTTCGATTGAAGTTTTTTGAATTTTTTCTTAGGCTCAAAGCTTTATTCCTTTTGTAATATAAGCGATATTGAAGATCAAAACCCTCCACCACCGTTAATGCCATCACAGCTCAAAGATTTTCACAAATACTTCACAGATATGAGTAAAGCTCATAAATGGGTTCTTACATCTGGAAAGTGTATCGAAGATACTCTTTTTGAACACTGCAAGGAACTGCCAAATGAATCACTCTTACATTCATGGATTATTGATCTTGATGACCAAGAGGCAGAAGAACTATTTACTATAGAAGAGTGGAAAGAAATCTAGCGTGAAACCAGAAAATTTCCGGAAGTTGACGAAACATTTGTAGAATCTATGATGCGATTTGCCAATGTAAGTTAAGATGTTATGGCATTTTTTGATTTGTTTGTAACTTTAATAATATTTCCAATTT